GGTGCTGGGGGATTGAACCGCGGTCCCTGATGCTTTTGCTAAGCTTGTTCTAAGTAGGTGCTTTAGACCACTGAGCCATCTCTCCAGCCCTTAGCTAATTCTTTCAATAGCAAAAATGGTAATAAAATATCCCAGCATCACAGAAGTTTTGCTTAATGAGATCAAAATTTTGTCTTTCAGATGTCTTGATAACTTGAGTTTCTCTCACTCTTTCTCTTTTTTTTGTTTTTATTTTTATTTTTTTTTCCATAATTTTATTCTTTCTCACTTTTAAGGCAAAATGGGCATATCAAGTTTTTGACCAAAGGAGATAATAATGCTGTTGATGATCGAGGCCTCTATAAACAAGGACAGCATTGGCTAGAGAAAAAAGATGTCGTGGGGAGAGCCAGGGGGTGAGTATGGATGGAGGTGAACAAACATGTTGAGCTTTTTCTGCATCCTATAGCATAGCCCTTGGATTGGTTTATCTGATCATTCTCAAAGTCCTTAGCAGCTTAGTCCTGGTTCCACTGAATAACCTCTGTGTTCTTTACTTCTTCAAATGCATTTAAATCTTCAGGTTACTACTCAAGGGAGGTATTGTTTTAAAAAAAGCAGTATTAAGGGTAAGATGGCAATTTGAATGTAACAGCTTTTTTGGCTTTTTTTGGTAGAACTGGGGATTGAACTTAGACCCTTGCGCTTGCCAGGGAAGTGCTTATTCTACTGAGCCATTTCCCCGGCCCCCTGTAACAGCTTTAAAAGTTTATTCAGTTCACTAAGAAGATGTTACTGGAACATTCGTGTATAATCCCAGTACTCAGGAGGCTGAACCAGGAGAATCACTGCAAGTTCGAGGCCCATTTGAACTACATAGGAGTTCAAGGCCAGCCTGAACTGTGCGGCAAGACCCTGTTTCAAAAAGCCAGAAACCAACAGAGATATCAATGGGTGCCTTTTGTGCACTCTGATGTCTGTGGTGGGGTAGGTTGAGGGGTCCAGAGAAGAGTTAGTCTTGCTTTGGGAAGCCTCACTTAGAGGGATTTATGAGTTACAGTATTTGCCTAACTTAATTTTGTCATGCTAATTTATTCCATACTGTTTCATTTCTAGTCTTGAAATTTAATGGGATCAAATGAAAGTTTTAAAATTATATTAAGCCTGTTTATTTCAGATTTTATCAGGAGAACAGATCAGTGGAGGACAGGAATTGTAAGTTATGGGTATAAGGAAGTACAAAATTATTACTATCTTAATGTCATTAATATTATTAACAATATAACTCACCTTTGTCAGGGCTTACTACATACCAATGACTTATTGTAAGTGCTTTATAAGTATTATCTCATTTTAACCTCAGAACAACCCTGACATTCCCATTCCACAGATGAGGAAACAGAAAAGTTCACTTATCCAAGATCACAAATGGCAGTAAGTGGCCAATGTCTCTGGAGCCCAAGTGCTTACCCATCACATCCAAATTCCTGTCCCCATGTTTCTGAAAGAGATAGTTGCTGGTTCTTTCCATATAGGTCCCTCACGGCACACTGTGCTTGTCAGACCCCGTGGACCTGATCTAAAGTAGACTAGATACAGACCTGGTATACTGGTGAGCAGCCCACCGCCTTCAGAAACCCCATCCTATTGCTAAATGAGTGTTGCCTCCTCTCCTACACAAGAGTTGCTCAGATTGGGGCAAGAGAGATAGGATTAAAACATACCATTGTGTTTCCCCTCATGCAGGACTGGTTCCTGTGGGGTACATGTGCCCCTACTTCAGGGAAACTACATGTCCTATGAGGGTACTAGTAGAATCCAAATGAAATCATTACTGTCTCTGAGAGATCATTGTCTGAGGCAGGAGAATTGTGAGGTGTTTTGTGTTTCATTTTGTTTTGTTTGAAAAAGAGTGTGTAGGGCTGGGGAGATGGCTCAGTGGAATAAGCGCTTCCCTGACAAGCGCTAGGGCCTGAGTTCAATCCCTGGTTCCACCACAAAAAAAAAGTCTGTGCAATCTAGGCTGTCAAACTTACTGTGTAGCCCAGCCGATCCTCTTGCCTCAGCTTCCCAGCTTGGATCTGTGGTTGATCCTCCTGCTTTCAGCCTCCCCAGTGCTGGGATTACTGGCATGTACCACTATGCCTGGACTCTGGCTTGATGTGGTGCCAGGAATTGAACTGCGGTCCCTGCACTTGACTAAGCTTGCCTAAGCAGATGCTTTAGCCTGCTGAGCTATCTCTCTGGCCCCTTGGGTTTATTCTTGTGCTGGGGTTGCAGGTGTGCCCCACCATACCGGACAAGAGTCATAATTTTGAAGCCAATTTGAGACCCTGTTTAGGTTTTTTTTTTTTTTTTTTTTTTTTTGCGGAACCGGGGGCTGAACTCAGGCCCTTGCACTTGCCAGGGAAATGCTTATTCTACTGAGCCATCTCCCCAGCCCCTTGTTTTAGCATTTAAAAGGGTTTGGGTGTAGCTCAGGAGTAGAGCACTTGCCTAGCACACATGAAGCTGTGGGTTCAGTTTCTTAGTACTACAAAGTCTGCTCATCTATATCCATAAATACTGTGGACTTTTAATTTATGTTGTCTCAGGCTTTACAAGATGCAGTGGTTGTTATATACATGTTTATACATGTTTGTGTGTGAGGGAAAGATGGTCACACTACTTTATAACTTCTTTTCACCCTAAAACTGACGAGCATGTTTACAAATCAATAAATTTATCTCCATATCATCCTTTCCAAAGAAAGCTATGTGTTATTTTACTACTGCCTGCAACTTGAAGTTTTGGGTTGGTTCTCCTTTTTTTTTTTTTTAATTATTTATTTGTGTGTGTGTGTGTGTGTGTGTGTGTGGCCAGCTCAGCCCACCAGGGGGCGCAGCTGGCTGGCATGTGGTGCTGGGGGATCGAACCGTGGTCCCTGTACTTTGCCAAGCTCGTTCCAAGTAGATGCTTTAGACCACTGAGCCATCTCACCAGCCTTTTTTTTTTTTTTTTTTTTTTTTTAACGTATTTGGTTGTTGCAGGGGCTCAGCATGCAGCTCAGACTCATGGTCATCCTGCTTTCAGCCTCCCCAGTGCTGGGATTACTGGCATGTACCATTATGCCTGGACTCTGGCCGGATGTGGTGCAGGAATTGAACCGCGGTCCCTGCACATAATAAGCTTGCCTAAGCGGATGCTTTAGCCTGCTGAGCTATCTCTCTGGCCCCTTGGATTTATTCTTGTTGTTTGGATTATATTTGAGCTGGAGTTTTGCTGAGTGGCTCAGTCTGATCTTGCACTTCTGATCTCCACTTGTCCCAGAGTTGTAACTGTGAGCAGTATTATGATAAAGATCTTCGTTAAACACATCTTAGTTCCTCTGCCCAGGCTTCACAGAAAATCCAAAGAGTGGATTTTTTTTTTTTTTTTTTTTTTTTTGCGACAGGGTCTTACTATGTAGTTTAGGCTGGCCTTGAACTTACGAGGATCCTTCTGCCTCAGCCTCCCTGGTACTGGGATTACAGGCATGTGCCACCATGCTCAGTTTAAGAAGTGGAATTGCTTGTGATACTTAGCGTATTTTAAGGCCTTGCAAATCTTGCCATGCTGTTTATTGTTTTTTTTTTTTTTTGCGGAACTGGGGATTGAACTCAGGCCCTTGTGCTTACAGCAAGCACTTATTCTACTGAGCCATCTCCCCGGCCCCTGCCATACTGTTTTATGTATACACCAACATTATTAACAGGATGTCCACATGTGGAGGCTTGATTCTTTTTTTTTTTTTTTGATTCTTGATTGTTTAGTACCATTCTGCCTGCTCGAGGCCTGTGTCAAGGAGAAAATACATCATTCTATAAAAGGTTAGAGTGGCCAGGCTTCCATTCAACTAATTTGTATGTATGTGAAAAAGTTTTAAAAATCACCGTTGTTGGACCGGTGACATAGCTCAGCAACACGGCACCCGTCTGGCAAATGTGAGGTCGTGAGTTTTAGTCACAATTGCTGTTTCTAAAATCCTGACTTTGAAATGTAGACCTTTTGGTGGTCTTAATAAGATGTAGTAGTCTTGAGACCCAGTCCTAGCCCAGGTCCGGTGAGTGTGTGGGAGAGCTTCCTGCTACCCTGTGCCAGCGGGACCAGTCCCAGCCCAGGCACAGCTTGGGCCAGACCCTCTTCCACCCCCTTGGGACGCCCCCCACCACTCCGCAGCACCTCCCCCACCCCATCCGCCCAGTAGGAATTTCTGCCTCGTTCCGGGAACCCCCAGACCCAGTCCTAGCCCAGGTCCGGTGAATGTGTGGGAGAGCTTCCTGCTGCCCTGCGCCAGCTGGACCAAATACTGGTCCCAGCCCAGGCGCGGTGTGGGCAGGACCCTCTCCCACCCACTTGGGATGCCCCCACCACTCTGCAGCACTTCCCTCACCCCACCCGCCCAGTAGGAATTTCTGCCGCGTTCCAGGAACCCCCAGACCCAGTCCTAGCCCAGACCCAGTGAGTGTGAGGGAGAGCTTCCTCTCCCCCTACTCCACCTTGCCCCCTCCAGGCACAACTCAGGCCTGGCATACATGCCTGGGGTGTAACCCTGCAGCTGCAATCCCTGCAGAGAGTGTAGAGGATAGATCCACCCAGCTAGTCCAGGAGCAGAACATCTTGCCACAGGGGCACAACAGGTTCACTCTCAAGGGCAGCAGCGGGAAGGAGCTGAGCACAGCAGCCAGACCCAAGCCAGGCACAGCTTGATAAGTCCAAACTTTGTAGAGCTGCACCTGAACTTCAGTATGTGCGAAGGTTATAACTGCAACAAAGATGTAGTAGTCTTACTAAATTAAGTAACTTTCTTTTTTTTTTGAACCGGGGCTTGAACTCAGACCCTTGCGCTTGCCAGGGAAGCGCTTATTCCACTGAGCCATCTCCCTGGCCCCAAATTAAGTAACTTTCTATAAAGTATAAAGCATCTGGGACAGGAACAGCAGGCAATAGAATCTCAACTATAAAATTCAGTTTCCATTGATTACACCACCACTTACCTTGACGGGTAATGTTATGTAGTGCTGTGTTTTGTAGAATTGTACTTATAAAACACTAAGCTGATATTTTGAAGTCAGGCTGTACTTATACCTTAGTTTCCTATAGACAAGTTTGTGGCTATGATCCTTAATTTCCTTGTGAGTTTATTATTTGTATAGGAATGCTATTGATTTTTGAGTGTTGAATTAATTTGGTTATTAAAAAACTTTTGGTGCAGTTTTTGGGGTCTTCTATATATAGTATCATGTCATCTACAAATAATGAGTTTAACTTCCTTTCCTGTCTTTACTCCTTTTACTTCTTTCTCTACCTGATGTGAATGTTTCCATAACGATATTGCAAAAAAGTGGTGTGCGGGCAAGAATCATAATTTTGAGGCCAATTTGAGATCCTGTTTTAG